AAAAAAGGAAAATGTGCTACAACCGCCCTTTTCAAACTCGGGGCCTGATGTTACCGCCTTCTGATGTTATGACTTTCTTTCGAACTACGGCCATTTTTTCGTTGCCCATTATTGTTTTTTTTGCCCTTTTGAACTTCGTTTGTGACACAAACGTACTTGCCCCAAAAAAAAAAAAAAACTACAAGCTGCATGAGTAGCTAGACAAGTTCAGGACTGAAATCAGATGTTATATTATGTTCTAAATTTATAATATTTTTTTTTAATTAATTTATCTATTATGAGTGTCAAATTCAAATAATATTAATGAATAAAATTCAATTGCAGTGATTTGAGATGATTTCAATTAGTGCGATAGATAGATTGTCATAGAGAAACTGCACAGTGAACCGTACGTTTCGAGATCGTAACGGGTGAGTACCTTCCCCATCTCTTATGCCTATCTATATAATAAATATGCTTCCAGAAAAAACCTACCGGGTGCAAAGCCGCATCAAGCAAGTACTCAGACCTGCAGCCACATGGCGATCATGTGCCCACTCCTTTGCCTCGGATGTCAATGCTCTTCTCAGCAACTCGCATGCGTTCGTATTTGCATTCGCGTCCGTGTTTGCGCTTGTGTCTTTTTTCTCCGAGACATCAACTCTCCTTCTAAAGAATTCACAAGAAGCAATGGGTTAAAAAAAAACAAAATTGAAAAAATAAAAAATCATGAGAAGTATAGCAGCATAGCACAATCAATCTGGCAGAATTCAGACAAGGACCCCACTGCTTGGCGGTTCTTTTCTTGGCGCCAGGAAACCATCTGCCAGCCCAAAATCGTAGCTGACGGGAATGGGGGCAAGCGAAAAAGGACTCCACTGACACAGCAATTTTCAGCACTTCCCGAGGTTTCTGTTACCCCGATCAGGAAGACTTGCCTTTTCGGGCAAATTTGCCTCCGCTTTTTCAGCACACCAACCAATCCCCGTGCCTCATTTCTGGACGCGATGGTTGGCACGTTTGCCTACCTCTAGAGGCAGTGAGCGTACCAGCAATCAGCGAGCGTACCAGCCATCCCGTGTGGAAAGGAGGCATGGGGATTGGTCGGCGTTCCAAAAAGCCGGAGGTGGGCAGAGCAGAGTGGAAACAAAAAAATGCTTGCTTTTGTCGCCAGCAGTGAGTCCAAGCCTAAGACGTAAACCACCAGAGCCGGACGTGGGCAGAGTGGAAACAAAAAAGTGCTTGCTTTTGCCGCCAGCAGTGAGTCCACCAAGCCTACCAATTAAACGACCAGTACCTTTCCCAGCCATTTTGCCGTTTCGCATCGGTTAGCATGGATGGAGGCCGCACTCGGCCTCCGGCGGCGGCCAGATGCGCCGCCAAAACTCGGCGCGCAGGGCCCGCGGCCGATAGCTGCGAAAGGTACTGGCGGTGTAAGCAAAAGCATAAAAAAAGATAAAACAAGCGAAAGATGTCATGGCCCCTTTGGAAAAAAAAAAAAAAAAAAAAAAAAAATTAATGGCCCCTTTGGAAAAAAAAAAAAAAAAAAGAACAAGAAAAAAGAGAAGAAGAGCAAAAAAAAAAAAAAGGGCGTACCTTTATGGGATGCACGCCCGGACTGCCTTGGCCTTTCTGTTTTTTCCCCCCCCTCTTCTGAAGGAACATAATCAGTCATATATATTGCGTTGAGTCAACGTCAACGTCGATGTTTTCTGCATGCATCTTAGGGCGTACTCACACTAGGACTTTTCTACTGTTTTCTGGACGCATTCGGGGTCAGATACGTACTCGTCCGGCCGTAATTGCGGTCAGATACATTTAAGTTATTGCCAGTTCGAGTATGCTCTTGACGTAGTTGTTGGCTGCGAGTATTGTGGAGTGTTCATTCCATCCCCTAGGTTGAGGTCCCACTAGCAAGGAGTATTGAAGTTGAGGGGGGGGGTCACTTTTTTTTTTTTACTTTTTTTCAGGAATTCGTTTTTTTCGCAATGCTGGGAAACAGGCCCTTTTGTAAGCGTGAGAAGTACAAATCGAAGATTAAAACAGGGAAAAAAAAAAAAAAAAAAAAAAACTAAGACAAACCCCTCCAAACCCCATTTACACCACTCTTCTCCCCCACTGCCCCAACCAACAACACCGAAAAACAACAACGAGCCCAGACTTCTTAGGATGCTTTCCATGGGTGCAGAAGTGACCCACCTATGACAGGAAAAAAACAAAAAATCCCAGAGCTGTAATATGCCCAGATTGAACCTGTCAGTGAGTTAATCATTGTAGCCCAGTGATCGTTCCGCAGCCAGATGGAATCGAACCGGTGACCCTGGGCAGGAGAACCCCCAGTCGAGTCGCACAAGCCCCAGTCAACAACAACAACAACAACAACAACAACCAAAAAAAAAAAAAAAAAAAAAAAAAAAACCCCTTAAAAAAAGAAAGAAGAAGAATTAAAAAAAAAAAACAAGAAGAAGAAGAAAAAGAAATGAAAAAAAAAACAGGTGTCAACTTGTCAGGTTAAAAAAATAAAAAACAGTTGAGTCACATGGTTGCCCCACCAGTCGTCCCAGAGGCTAAGCCCCACTAGCAAAGAGGATTGGACAGCATGAGTGTGTGCACCCAGGCAAGAGCTGATTGAACAACTGAACCTGGATGTGTTTGTGGACAGGTGCAAAAACTGGCGATTGATCTACATTCTGCATCTCTGCATAAAATACGTCCACATCCAGCTGCCTAACGGGACCTCACCCCAGGTAACTCGCAAAAGAAGACGAAACCCGCAATCTATGAAAGAAGCATGTGTGCCGTTCAAATTCTGTTCTGGAAAATATATATATAATATAATATATATATCGTCACATATATATATATCGTCACAAATATATATATATACTCCTGATGAGTCGGTGAAACTCCGACGAAACAGTTTGTCACAGCCCCTCGTTTGTTGTCCTCTTCTCTCTCTCTGCCTACGGTTTACCGGGCAGTTCTGTTTGTGACGATATATAACGATATATATATATCGTATAGATAGATTCTGGGATGCTGGGTCTGATTCCCAGCACGTGCTGCTCCCCACGAACAGACAGGAGCCATCCAAATGGCACCACCTGGATTATTTTGTGTACACCTGGTGCTGATCTAGGAAAGCAAGCAATGATGATTTTTGAAAGAAAAAAAAAACATCACTTCAACGGAGTCGAGCTCGATTGCTTGCTTGAGTGAGAGGTGAGAAGAAGTTCTTTGGGGGGGGGGAAGGCATGAAAAATTTCAAAAAAAAACAGAAAAATAGAAAATAAAATTTAGAGGTGAAAAAAAGGTCTGCATGAGCCTGTTTTACCTTGTTGATTCTAATCCCAGCACGGATAGGATCGTCTGTTCTTCATCTGGCAGCAAGAACCGGTCTTCTCTGAAATTTCCAGCAGTCGTTTCTGAGTGGCGAGACTCAGCAGAGGACGAGGAGGAGAAGGTGGAGGCCATGCTTGTCCCGCTTGGCGGTGAAGATGATGAAGGCATTGATTGAATTGCCAACTTGGGGACGAGCCACGACATAAATCCGGGAATCGGGCTCAATGTAACGAATGTCTAAAAGAAGTTTCGCAGCAATTGCACAAAAGCGCAGAACGCAGAGAAACAAGACAAACAGTGAAGTGAAATGATGAGAATTTTTTTTTTTTTTTTTTTTTTAATTTATTATTATTAGAGGGAGATCATGGGACAAAAAAAAAAGAAAAGAAGAAGACGGAGAAGAAGAAGAAGAAGATTATGCGACTTCATCTACCTGTAGTTAGGATTTTGGTAGTTAATAGTACTTAATACTCAGCCATTAAAAAAAAAAAAAAAAAAAAAAAAAAAAACTCAGCCATTTAGTTGTAGATAAGACTGATAAGGTAACAACAGCCAGAGAGCTGTTTGGAGTCTGTAGCAAAAGACTCGCAGGCTCGCAGCCTGTAAGCTAAACTGGATGATGCTTCCAGAGGTATCAGTCCAGGGGTGAAGTCCCACCGCTGAAGTTGAGTTTTCTCAACGCTGAGCTTTCTATCACGTGTGGCATGGTGGGACGGAGCTCTGCCGTTGATGTATTGAGAATCTAAGGGTTCCGAAATACTCCTCGCCACACGTGTGGGACGGAGCTCTGCCGTTGATGTATTGAGAATCTAAGGGTTCCGAAATACAGGAGAATAACCTATTAGATTTGGTTGTTTTGAATATTTTTTCGT